TCGGTTCAAAACGTCATCGTTGTTTGGGTCGGCCCACGGAGCATTTCTAGATTACACCACTGAACATGCTATTTTTTACTTGGGTGAAGAACAAGAACTTGATATGGTATAGTAGATGTTGTACTTCTGTAGAGTTGTAGATGTTGTAATGAACGAATAGGCTCTGGCGAGGAACGTGTACAGAAAACTGATTAGATGGAGGAAGGTAAAGGTTCTTTTATTGTCTCTTTGTTGGTGTTGTGCGCATTAAAAATTCAAGGCGGAAGTGCACGGCCGTGCTCTATGGACGAACCGCCCCTGCTACACCAAGTATATCTCTAGAAAAAGTACTTACAATGAAGTTGACCTGAGATACCCATCGACACTGTGAAGATCCAAGCAGACTTAGATATCGAGATTCTAGATCTGGAAACAGTAGAAGCAGCTTTGCAAACACAAAGTAGAACTCTGTGGCCCAAATACGACAACCCACAAAAATCAGTTCTGTTCTTGCTAACAACTCTAAATCAGTCTCAACTTCTGTGCTCCAAATGCATAGAGAGATCTAGATCAAGAGTCTTACTCTATTTAAAAAAAAAAAAAAGCTACGCACTAAATACGCGCAAAATTTGGAAAAAGTCAATACCTGCAATAGATGTACAACGAAGTAAACATTTTGTGGGTTTCAATGAACTCAACGTGTTGGGGACATGACTACATCAAATGTATGTAGAAAAAGTCAATACACTGAAGTTTGGTCTGAAGCGAAGCACATATCTAGACAGAGTTGGGTATCGAGATTCTAGATCTGGAAATATTACTAGTTAGAAGCAGAACCGATTTTTCGATTTTGGACTATTTCAGTCGAGCAGCATCTGCTTTATCGATTGGAAATATTTTCAAGTGTCTAAAACATCTATAAAATGTTCACATGTGCCATGTTTTTTTATCATGGTGTTGAAATAGACCAGTATGAATTCTGTAGTTTTTTTTCAAGTTTTCTCAAAACTATGATTTTCTTAGGGGGGTGGGTCACCTATGTAGAGACATTTCTGAAAGTACATGTCACATCCCACTTTGCATGACTGTTTCTAGGTAATATGTTTACAACGTACTGAAAGATTATTGTGATATTGTATTAAGTTTTCTGTCAGTGTAAAAAAGATTGACAGTATCACTCTGATTTGTGATCCATTTTTTGTCCGAGTATCGTATAACTAAAAGGGCAATTACAAGAAAAGTTTGAGACTTAGAAAAGTAAATCTTGTAGTACGTTGCAGGTTTTACAGAAACACCGTGTGAAGATATCAACAAGGCTGTATCGATTCAGTCTTTGTCAGAATCTATGCATACAATTTGCGCGAATTTTGGTCTGACGAACCCTTTGTATCTAAAGAATTTAAAAAATGGACAGTGAAAACATATACAGGGATAGTGTGTTTCTGTTACTTAACCCATATTGGTTATTAGTATTAGGAAACCCAGTATACTTATTTTAGAGCCCAAGCAAAATTTTCCCTGCAGCTGTCCTACTATATTTACACTCTACTGGAATGGAGCAATAAATCCTGAGAGATGCAAAAAAAAATAGAAGGCTTAGATATAATATAGTGATGTATAGATTGATGTATTCTCTATTCTGCTGAACAAATTTGTACATTTTAATGGATTTTGTTGGTTTGCATACGCCATGTTTAATTGCACTAGCCCATAGCCACTTGTTGATAAAAGATAATCTACGAAATCATATGTAGGCCTAAGCATCTGGTCTGCTTTTCACTTATGCATATAATATATCATTGTTATTCTTTAGATATCTCTTCTTTTTAATCACCAGAGGTATGTAATTCGTTTTTCTTGACTATATCCACCTAATTCGAATGGCTGGTGAAAAAGAAAAGAGTTTTGGAGTGTGCAGGGCTGGGCAGTGTTTTGCAGACACAAAGGTCGTCTCCGCGAGATCAGTTCACAATCGGTCACTTTGTGTTGTCGAGCGCGTTGGCGATCATTGGCCTGTCGGTTGAGAGGGGATAATGACATAACCAAACTTCTTTGCAACAGGTGAAAAAGTAGCCTACAGTGAATTTGCAATCGTGGTTGGTTGGCGCGAGCTCTAGTATGGCTTGATCTTTCTTTCTTATCAAACGTCTATCGTCCTTATATGTTACTTTCTTGAGACACTTCTAACCGTCCGCGCTTATTTGGCCTATTGTTTTGCAAATGCCGTATAATTCGTACTACAGCTAAACATTTATGTTCCTATAGACTGGGATTTATGAGACACGGGAATGCACTTATAGATTGATTCCCTATTCCGCTTTCGTGGTTGTACACTCCAGAATTTCAAAAGTGTGGACACAGTGCGTACGGCTATTGAACGGGAACCTCACTTGTTTACATTTTACAATGGCGTCTTAGAAGACGGACTTTCTCAAGATTAGATCTAAACGGAACTAATGAAAAACTGAAAATTAAACTACAGTGACTTCAGGCTCCACAATAGAACTGTGCACCCTTTAAATGATTCAGAACTACCATTAATTTTGTCAAATTCGAAAGTTAAAGTGGTTCCGAAGTTTTAGGCGGCCAAAGTGACGGGCTTTCACAAATATAATATTATGTATAGATAAGCACGTCTCGATGCAAGTCTGTGCCTTATACTCGTGGTAGCACATTATGGTGCATTGTAGTTGTCACCAAACCTTGTACTCATGGTACACGGTAGTTGTCATCAATTTCAAACTGGGTACTCATGGTAACTATCATCAAACTCATCCATGGCCCAACGTTCTATTTCAAAGACTCAAATGAAAAAAGGAAAATAAAAGGAGCTTGGAGCCTACAATACTAAATCGTGACTCGTTTGGTTGGACGAGCGAGGTTAAAAAGAGACCCCAATGTACAAGAAACAACTTGCCAAAAATTGCTGGGTAACATCCAAGGTGAAATAGAAAAAGAAATAGGCATCAATGATTTCTGTGTTGGATAAAGCGAGGAAGCTACAGAGAATGTGTGTGTGTGTGTGTGTGTGTGTGTGTGTGTGTGTCGATGGGAGGAGAGATACAGGAGAGGAGACCAGACTCTTGTTCCCCGCGCGATCCCAACGACACCAGTGGCTGGGAGACGGCGGTATTTGCTTCCGGGCACCTTCACAAAGCTATATATATCATCTTGGTGGGTATGGCATGTTGATTGGTAGGACAAATTGTGAAATAAACAAATCAACTTTCTTTTAATTTTAGAAAGTGGTAACTGGCAGTATGAGTATGAGTATGAGACAGGGTCGTCTTTTTTAGTTGCTGCTGCTGTTGTTGTTATCGTAGTTGCTATCGATCCAACAAAGGCTGGGCTCTCGCCTTCCTGACCACAGCGCTATGTGGGTACATGTATGTATTATGTCGTGATAGCTGCAGTTTAGTTTTTAGTTTTCGTAAGAGTTTTACGGCACTTGCAACACAATATAGGGTCATATAAGTAAACAACACAAAAAAGAAGGGAGAATCACGACGATAGATGTTTGATAGAAAAGAAGGAGCAAGCCACACCAGAGCACTCGCCAACCAACCATCTGCAGGGTTTTCCTGATCACAGAAGATGTGTGCAGGTATGTGTAACGATAGGTGCTGGTTTTTCTTTGACCACAGCCGTGTGGGTATGTATTATGTCGCAATAGCTGCAGGTTTTTCAGAGTTTATTGTCCGTAGCCCTGAGGTCATCTACAAATTCGCCGTGGACTAGGTGCTGACCCAGTCTCATGTCGTCACACAAACAAAGGACATGTTGTTGGGGGAAGTTCTGGTTTGATTCTGTTCAAGTGGATGTTGAGCTGATGGTCTATTTGCAGGCTGAAGATCCTGGTCTCTTCCTTTCTGATCTCCACTGCTCTGTCTTTCCTAAGGCACATCTGTTCATCTAATCTTGTTTGTTATTGTTTTTAACGATATGTTATGCAGTGTTGTTGTACAGTGGAACTTGGATTCAACGATCTCGGATTCAACGAGACGAGATAGATTCCCCGTTTTTTTCTTCTTTAAAATCAATAAAAGTAACCCAGATTCAACGAGCACTTTCAGCGAGCTCGAATTCAACTAGGTCGCTTCCAGAGTGAATAGCCCCCGCAGACGTGGCTTCGCTCATTTTTCTCCCAGAACGAACTTTATCTATTCCCAGAAACCATCCATTGCACCTGCGTCGTGAACCATTATTCACTTAGCCGATTGCATGCGACCTGACCGTCTAGCATGCGACCAATCAGCGGCCTTTTTTCATACCAACACATGCGTTGTTGGCACGTGCACATGTCTACTCTGGCGTGTGTCGGGGTCGGATGGGCGGCCAGCACACGTGTGGCTGTGTGGCCTTTTTTTTTTTTTTTTTTTTGGGTGGGTGGGTGGGTGTGGGGGGGGGGGGGGGGGGTGACACTAGCGGTCTGGGCGTTGAACGTCGCAGATACAAATGCGTTACAAGTTACAGTCTTTTTTCCCCGCTCGGCAACTGATCACTATTACCATGATAAGCTAGTCTTGACGTAGATCTGCGTAATGAATTGGGCGCTGGTCTATGGAATCAAAAGTTGCCGTGTGCTAGGCCCAACACAGCAACACAACTTTTTGGTAAACAATCGAGATGACACAGGCGTGCATTTGAACGAATCGGGGTCTTTTTTTTTTTACCCAGTTCATCATACGCAGGCATTTCAGGCACTACTTGTGACTTCTCTTTATATATTACTTACTCAGAGCCTGTAATTGTTTAAATAAAACCTCATGTTTGGTATAAACGAACACTCGGAGTGAACGAGATTTTAGGTCAGGCCCAGCGTCCTCGTTGAATCCGAGTTCCACAGTATGAAGCTGGAGTGTTGGGCTGTTCGTTCTTCCTGTCTAGATCTGCTTTTGGCATGTGTGTTTGCCCTGGGTCTTCAAGTGATGATATGATATAGGAGGCAAACATGTATACACACACACACACACACAAACACAAATAGATATGAGGAACGCATCTGTATAGACCAGCGAGAGTTTCATTTCAATATGTGATTTTTTTTATTGGACACAGACAGTAAACCATGTCGCTTCAAAACATGTCAACATACAACTGTATTTTCCTTCATCTTGATAAACACAGAAAAACATTTTAAAACTGTCAGTATATACAACGGTATTTTCCTTCATCATGTCGAACACAGAAAAACATTCCAAAATGTCAACATTCACCTGTATTTTTCTTCATTTTATGAACACAGAAAAACATTCCAGACATTGTGCCTTGGTGTCACAGAGCATGAACTGTGACTTTTAAGTAGGTTTATAGCTCAGCCTGTACCATCTGTAAACTGAGCGTTCTGTAACCTCAACCTGTACCATCTGTAAACTGACCTTTCTATAGTCGCAGCCTGTACTGTCTCTAAACTGACCATTCTATAACCCCACCTGTAAACTGACCGTTCTATAGCCCAGCCTGTACCATCTGTAAACTGAGCGTTTTGTAACCGCAGCCTGAACCACCTGTAAACTGACCGGTCTACAAGCCCGCCTTAACCGTCAGTTAACCCAGGAAGCGAGCAGGCCCTGCCTATAAAGGGCATGAGCCGGGCTACGCGGGAAGCGCGTAGGCCCTATATATACGGCTGACCTACTTCGACCGGGAAGCGTGCAGGCCCTATATAAAGGGCATAGAGACTTGGCAAGTTATCTTGACCTCGTAGACAGTCTCTCTGCCAAGATATCGATCGACAAAGTGACACGGTCCGGCTGAGCGACTACACGCTATGTGTTATCACTTGTTTCACCGAGCTGATGTACTAATTGTTGAGTTTATCGTGTTTTGTGCTTAGTTTGTATTTATTTGATCGCTTATCATTTTTGAATGGCTCATTCTATCAGCTTTAAGAAAAGATATGGTTATATATGTCTTTTATCATCTGTTGAGCTGTAAATGGTCATTTTTCCGTACAAATCTCTGGTATCTCAGCCAATATCCCCATGCCAAACACACATATTTACAACCGATCGGCCGAGGCGGCATGGCATTTTTGGCGGGTTGCTTCCGGTGAAACGCTGAGCACTTCTAGGGTGAGTTAACTGGCCATTCTACAAGCGAGCCAGCACGATCTGTAAACTAACCATAGACTGACTGGTCTACAAGCCCGCCTGCACGGTCTGCAGACTGCGGGAGCTGGCACAGCCAGGGCAGGAGTGGAGAACCTCGTGTGTAAACAGGTCGCAGTCCAAGCAGAAGTGTCGCTCACACTTGTCGCATGTGTATACCTGGCCATGGGGGGGGGGGGGGGGGTAGACAGGAGGGCATCATTATTGTCATCATCATAATCATCCTCAAGAGCCAGACTAGACGCAAACATCAACAATCAAGGTTCAGCACCCATGTCTCTACTCACATGAACTCACAAAAACCTACAATATCCCCCCCCCCTCCCCCTTCATTTCCCCCATCATTCATCTGTTCAAGTTCTCTACACAAGCTGTTCTTGAGCTACCTCTGCCTTGTTTGCCATCTATCTTTCCAGCGGGAGAAAGCAGTTCAAAGCCTTTAGGTTGGTTCAAGTGTCCCAGAAACAGCTTTAGTCCCTTCCTCATCACTTGTAGTAGAAATGGGCAAACAGGTGGAATAAATCTCTCAAAATTCTCCCTATGTAAGGAAATAGAGGAATGAACACTGTGGTGTTGAGACTGCCAGTCAGTCACAGATTACCTGAAAAGTCGCAGCATGGAGTGGCTCCACTGACACGTCTTACTACTACATACTACGACTACAAACTACTGCTACACACTACGACTACACATTACTACTACTACATACTACGACTACACACTACGACTACACACTATGACTACACATTACTACTCTATACACTGCGACTATACACTGCGACCACACCCTGCAACTACACACTACGACTACACATTATGACAACACACTATGACTAAACATTACTAATTACTACACACTTCCAGTACACACACTACACACTATGACAAGACACTGCTACAGCACACAACAACTAGATCTACATACAATCAGATCTGATAAATCAATGCAAGAGACAAGGACGGACATATCGTCGGCAATCTGTTCGACTATTCTGAACCTAGAAAGTAAGAAAGCAAAGTTTTTCAGGGGGCTCTCATGGCCTAGAGGTTAAGGTGTTCGCCTCTCATTCAAAGGTCCAAGGTTCGAATCCGAGTAGCGACGGAAAAATTTTCTTCTCTAAAAATTGTCTCCTTTCACCTTCTTTCCTTCTCTCTTGCAATATTCTGTAATCTGCTTTCGTCTCCAATTTCTTCCCTCACCCTCTCACCCCCTCCACTGGGCTCCTGACTCTTTCTGCAGCCTTTCTACTGCTACTCCTTGGCTCCTTCTTACTGCTGTCTTTCAGCCACACCCCTGATCTTCTGGTTGGAAAAGATCTACATCTAGCCTTCTCGGACAAGGGTGAAAAATCTCGGAGGTCCCGTGTGCAAGTTGCACCCGTTAAAGATCCCTTGGTGGTCCAAAATTGATAAGAGTAGGCAAAAATCAAAATTTCCTACCAATTGAAAATGTTTAGTGTATCCCGTCCGCTCATATGACTTTATGCAGTTGTGAGCACCATAAAACACCATTAAAAAAAAGTTTTCAGGACAGAAGGAACAGTTTCAGTGGCTGTGTGTGTCCGGCTTGAACAAAATACTTTTGTCTGTAGAAAAACTGCCTCAGCTTTGAAAGAGCTTTAAAAAAACTGACAGGGTTTTGGATGTCAAAGAAATCACCAAAGTCATATAAAAGCAATAGAAAAAAAAGGATGAGATAAACAGCTCATCTGTGCTGTACTTACATGAGGGTCCAGTATCTCTACCTGACACGCGTAGCAGCATCTGTGGAGAACAGGGCAGTGTGGGAGATGACACATCAAAGACAACACACATCACAGATGACACAACTTGTGTTAGAGGAAAGATGTACACATCACAGACGACACATGAGTTTGAAGAAACATACGCACATGCAGAGAAGAAGCAAGACAGAAAAAAAACAGGGGGAAATAAAATAAGTCCACCTGTAGAACCTACCAAAGGCACCCTCACTCCAACCACCCGCAAAAACACAACCAAGTCAGAAACCTGATATGTCAATGGACAAGACCCTCACACTCACACATCACACAACCACACACATCAAAGTCGCACACACTCACAAATCCACACATTAACACACATCACAGTCGCAGATTCATAGTTGCACATTAACACACATCACAGTCGCACATTAACACACATCACAGTCGCACATCCACACACATCACAGTCGCACATTCACACACATCACGGTCACTAATTCAGTCGCACATCCACACACATCACAGTCACAAATTCACAGTCACACATCCACACACATCACAGTCGCACATTAACACACATCACAGTCGCACATCCACACACATCACAGTCGCACATTCACACACATCACAGTCACACATCCACAAACATCACAGTCGCACATCCACACACATCATAGTTATACATTCACACACATCACAAATCCACACAAATCACATTCGAACATCCACACACATCCCAGTCGCAAATTCAGTCGCACATTCACACACATCACAGTTATACATTCACACACATCACAAATCTACACAAATCACATTCGCACATCCACACACAACAGAGTCGCACATCCACACACACCATAGTCACACATTCACACACACCATAGTCACACATCCACACACATCACAGTCACACATCCACACACATCATAGTCACACATTCACAGGAGGATCAACACTTCTAACAATCACCCTTTCAGAAAAGTTTTTTTGCAAGTGAATACAAACATGAAACATTTTACAAATGACAATTCCCATTTCAGACAGTTATATTCCATGGCAGAGCGTACATAACCAGCATATAGCTGTCTGAGAGCATCCTTGTCCTCTCCCCCATAAAGTAATAGCCAGCCGTCTGTGAAGGTTAAGCCTCTTGTTGGCCTTAGTCTTCAGGTTCCAGATGAGGTTTTTGCATGAAAACTGCCTGTCCAGCTCAATCCCAAGGTAGGTCAGGTTTTCAACTTTTTCTAGTTTGTTTCCTGGAAGTGACATGGTGTGATTTCGCTTTACGAATTTGTGGCTTTTTGTAAAGACGGTGTAGATTGTCTTGGTACAATTCACTTTTAGTTTCCACTTACAGTAGTAGTTGAGGAATCTATCTAGGTCCTAATTTATAAGCTGTGCACAGATGCCAGCTTGTTTACTTGAATGCCAGATGGCTAGGTCGTCGGCATATAGGGCCTTCTCTGATTTCAGTATCTCAGGCAGGTCGTTGATGAAAACAAGGAAAAGTGTGCAGCTCAGAGAGAAACCCTGGGGTAGGCCCTCCTCCAGTACAGCTTTGGATGACACACCGTAGTCCATCCTGGTCTGGATTGTCCTGTCTGTAAGGAAGGTATTCACCCATCTGTAGAGTTTCCCATGAATTCCTGTCTGTGTCATCTTCCACAGGAGGCCTTTTCTCCATACCCTGTCGTAAACTTCCAGGAGATCAACGAATACTGCAACTGTGTGCTTCTTCTCCTGGAAGCCATCAAGGACTTTCTGACTGAGTCCAAAGAGCAGGTCATCTGTTTGTTGGCCCGTACGGAATCCTGCTTGGTTGCTGTCCAAGGCACCGGTTTTTCCAACCACCAGCATAGGCGGTGGTTGACCATCCTCTCTGCTAGTTTCCCCAATGCATGAGGTGAGTGAAATGAGTCGATAGCTTTTCATTATTCTTCAGCAGGTTTTCCTTTCTTGAGAATGGGTGTGATGATGGCGTTCTTCCATGCTCTGCGGATGGTGTTTTCATTCCACGTCTTATTGATTAGCTGGAGAATATAGCCCTTATCAACAGGACTGAGGTTGACAAGCATTTCATTATTGTGGATCCTATCTGGTCCTGGGGATTTGCGGGGCTTCAGTTTTTTCATTGCCCTGTTGAGCTCAGTGAGTGTGAAGTCATCTTCAAAGAGAGAGATACTTGCACTTGGCGCATGCTCTTTCTCTTTCAGTTTTTTCAGACAGTCTCTATGTTGGTCAGCATGGGGTGTAGCTTTTTTTATAGACGCAAAGAACTTGTTGAAGGTTGCTGCCTTTTATGGTCTTCTACGATGATGCTTTCCTCTGTGTCCATGGGTTTTGGGTTGTTTCGGCATTTTTCCCCTCACAAGTTGGAGAGAAACCACTTACACCAGACAACCCACCAACCACTCACCACGACTACCCATCACTCACACAGAGCACCCACCAACAAGCCACTACTCACACCCACCACCCACCCCTCACACGGACCACCCACCCCTCACACGGAGCACCCACCAACAATCCACCACTTACACGGGTCCGTCTGCGATGATATCGGAGGTGAGCAGCTCTCTGAAGGAGTCGGGGGGGAACAGGTGGTGGTATGAGCGGGCCAGGTGGGGAGCCGAGACCAGGGTCAGACCTGGGGAGGGGCCCAACACATGGGGGACGTTTTACATTCATTTCAACATGATTTAATAATAATAATATATCGCATTTGTATTGCCCAAATTCCGCTCAACAGCAAGCTCTATGAGCTTCACAATCTATACTATTACCCCAGCAGACCTGAGAGCATTCTGAAACAAACTCAACTTCCTGGGAAGCATACAGTGCAAACAGCCATTTATAGGTGCTAAAACACTAACATACTGACAAGATCTTTCGCTGTCTATGGCCGGGTAACCATTTCCACCTGGAAGAAGTGAGGAAAATTTGTGTAAAGTGCTTTTCCCAATGACACAACGTCAGGCCTGCGGCTCGAACCCCTGACCCCGCAACCTCATGATTACGAGTCCGGAAGCCTAACCACTAGGCCACTGACGCCACATTTAGTATGTGTAATCCACAGCTTGCACTGCATGCTTCCCGCAAAGCCAGGAATATTCCTGGGAGTTCTAGGGTCTGCGAGAGTAAAGATGTAGACTTTAAAGCATACAGAGTCTGAACATGCTGTAAAGTGTGGATATACATTCCATAATTATTCAATTATTATCGTTATTATTCTTATTTTTATTATTTAGGATGTCCAGGTGAACAGATAGTGCTCACTTCTCAGATTTCAGCCCTACGGAAATAGATATATATGTCAAATTTATTGGTGGACTTTGCACAATTTCTAAGAATGAAATGATACAAGACATTTATACTGGAAGAAAATGGCATTATTTTAAAATCTACGAATTTGACGCTTTAGTTGATTCTTGGCCAATATCTCAATTGGTGGTAGCCAGAAGTAAATCATTTTGATTCATATATTATCATTTATTATTTACATAGTTCAAGGCAGAGGACCACCCCCCTCCAACCTGGCTAGATGACCACTCACCACAAGCCCTGCACTCTATTGGCAGCTCACAGTACTTGCTTTTACACTGAGGACAGAAGTAGCCGCTGGTGCTGAACCCTTGTGCCGTGCCACTGTCCAGGTGACTGAAACAAAACGCCTGGAGTTACGATATTGCTGAAACTGTCTCAGATGGCCATCTGTTTTCCAGGGGAAAATGGATGTCTTGGACAGGTGGACGTCTTGGACAGTATCGTTATAATGTCAAAAAAATACAAGGGGGGAGGTGGGATGTGGTCCTTTGTCCAGGTGACAGTCTTACATAGGTGGCCTTAGAGCAGGTCTGAATGTACCTAGTTCAAACCCCTGCAGGTGAAGGCATGGTCAACAGAAACGTGCTTGGACTTTTTCCGGATTTTTCCCCGCCAAGTTGCACACGTCAAACAGCCACTTGCAGTTTAAAGTCGAAGGTAAAAACAGGCCTGCCCAAACCTGTCGTGGCCAATGTCTAAACCAATCTCTACTTAAAGGGGAGAAATGCACACATGATTATGACTTCCTCTACAAACAGCATTTGGCTGCCTCAAAAGTTAATAACAATTGGTTTTACTATAAAAGTAGGCCGTGTATGTAAAACCAGCACCATCATGGACTGAAGAAACTACACCAGGAGAAGAATGCAGGTCTAAATTAATTCAACAAGACAGAAGAAGACCAGTACAGAGTAGGGGGGGGGGGAAGAAATCCTTAAACAAGACAACTGTTCACAGATTAACAAGTTAAGACCCCAATGTTTTCAGTTAGAAACTAGCCACAGGGCACAGAAATCACTCCCTTTGTAAATTACAGTCCAGCAAGCAACTAGCGAAACACACACACATAGTGAAACACACAAACACACACACAGAGAAACACACACATAGTGAACATGGACATTGTAAAACATGTACACAACAAACAGATTTTCAAATCCCCAATTTTTTCTAATACATGTCTATTCTATTTTTTTGCATCTTAAATAATATGTACATAGCAAAATTCGTACATAACAAAAGGATTTCTACCTATCACCAACTTGCTAAGTGCCTGCTAGAACGTGCAACGAAAATGGGAAAAACAGCAAACTCTACGGATATTTTCTCACCACATGCACATGGAAGGTTTCTCCTCCTTGTCCTTGTCGCCCACCAGCGCGTGGTGGGGAAAACCTGGCCAAGAGAAACATAGGAAACAGTCTGGGTTTTTGGGTTGGTTTCTTTTTTTTGTAAGAGTTTATTGCACTTGCCACACATTTAGGTCATACAAGTGCGTAAAAATTGAGGTGCTCGGAGAGAGTAACATAGAAAGAAAAGGAGGCAGGAGGAGAGATTTATATAAGGACGACAGAAATATTGACTCTCGCTAAAAGGCTTTGGGTCACAGTAGGAACAGGTCCTGGCATCCTAATGACTGAAACTGTTTACAGCAGAGTCTGCTTACACTGAAATCTACGGGATTTTTTTGTGGTTAAGACACAGACACAGGGCTCAAGGTTTACCTGGGTTTTCAGTTTCACTGTGTTTGGTTTGTGTTGAGTGTACTTTGTCTCGTGTTGCTGTCACTGGACAGCCAACCATCAAAACTTGCCGGACATTTCAAGTTGTCTTCAAGAAAAACCAGATGACAAATGGTCATTGCAACATGTCATTGCAGCTAGCAATGTGCACCGAGAGCTCTTTAAACAAAATTATAAACATAGGTGTTTTCTACACTCCAATTAATACAATTTAGATAATTTTCTGAGGCAAGCTTCCGACTCTGTCTGTCGTCAGAGCCAACCCGTGCTAAGAGGGATACAACATCCTAACAGAAAGACAGAGATACTCGACAAAAATGCTCCCCATTCAGGAATCGAACTAGGGTCTCCTATGTGCAATAGCAAAGTGCCATACAGCTACAGCACAGACTCTGGCACCAAGAACTCTATTTATTTTATTTAGTAGAGGTTTTTCGGCGCTCGCAACTGCATAAGGTCATATGAGCGCCAAGGGTTGGATGTCAACAGAGAAGTCTTTACAGGGCATGGGGCTTACTCTGCTCACCTCTCTAACTTTAACAGCATAAAGTCTGTTTTGACTTTCAAGGTACCCCGGAAATAGCAGTTCACAAGAGTGTGACAATCATACAAAAGAAGTAGAGGAAAATGATGATAATAAAGATTAGGAAAGAAAAAGCAGCAGTTCCGTGTGGCAGTTCTGGCACAGTTATGAGCTTGACATGATGAATTAGCCCATTTACAATTCTACTCTGCATAAGAACGAGAAATGTCCCCCCTTTGGCAAGGGCCTAAAGACACTTCAGTCAGTGGCACTGCCCCGGGGGGGGGCAAAGAACTCTGGGCTCAGAAAACCTATGTAGACGTACAAATGACTCAGCTCAGTAAAGCAGGCTGGAGGAAGCTTGTAGAAATCAGCGCTATTGAAAAAAATACCTAAAAGGAATATGTACTCTAAACTCTTGAATCACTTTCACTGAAAAAAAAAATTCTTCATAACTGCTTAAACCAGCTGGTTATTTTTTTACTGTTATCAATT